GTAGATGATGAAATCCCTGGATAGGAACGAGAGAGGTATATGAGTTGATGGGAGTTCCTCTCGAATAGTAGTTTTGTGGATGACATTGCTCTCTTCTCGAGGAGTATCACTGAAGCGGAAGGAACGAAGTAGGAAGCGGATAGGACTGCGAATCTATTGGAAGAAAACTCAAAGAACGCTTTTTGCGAGGATTAGGAGAGGGAAATAGAAGGCTCTCCATCGCGGAGTCGACTTCTTACGTATGTCGGACGTTTGATGAACATCGAAAACGTTCTGAAAGAAAAACTAACAGGAGGAGAAGAGCAGCTTTGGCCGCCTTCGCGCCCGCAAAGGAAGCCACAGACCAGCTGACGGGCCCAGAGCTCGGAGCCCACCTGTTTCATTTAACTGTTCTCTCTGCGCTGTATCACGCAGCAGAGACGTGACCTGACACGTGGTCACGTCGAAGGTACTCCGAAGAACCCACAGAGCGCTAGTACGACGTCTTCTGAAGTACACAACATCTTGTCGTACTTTGCAGTTCTATGAGATCAATGCCTCGTCTTCGCGATCCAGCGGAACACCTCTCTAAAGCAAGCATCGATGGGGTGGTTATATAATGAAGGACAGACGACAGATGGATACTAAGAACTCTGGAATAGATCCCTCGCGAAGCAACGTCCTCGAGGGAGGCCAGCGACCAAATGGGGAGTTCGTTGGACGGATGGACCAGCTGAATTCTTAGCTAGTAAAGAGTAATGGATCTGATCCCGCGAACGTCGCCGCCTCATCAATGCAAACATCGTGGATGACGCTAACAAGAGACAGAAACGGATGGAAACAGTGCTGTGGCCTGCACGACAAGTGAAGATAGGCCATCTAAGTACCTAAGTAAATAATACATACATTGAATACAACCCCAAACACAGAGCCTATTTCGTATTCTTAGATCAGTTTTACTCAGTTTAAAGTTCTCTTCTAAGATTTCTCGCTTTTGGGAGCACCAAAAACCAAATATCGAAAA